AGAAAATGAAATTAAACTTAGTGGGCTATACATGTCTGAGTTCCGTGATTGAACGTAATCAGAACATTTCGTTCTGGGACTTAAACTACTCCGAAATACAGGTTAATAATTATTCAAAATATGCGGAACTCCGAAAGTTAATGTTATCAAAACCAGCTGATTCGACCACTTACCACTCGGTAGTATTCAGGCGATCGCCCAAAGCATCACCGACATCGTTTTCTTCAGCAGAATCACTGTGACTGTCGTCGTTAAATTCGGGCTCAAATTGGTAGGGCCGTATACCTCCGTCAACCGATGAACCCTCGACATCGAAGTCAGAAGACTCGTAATTCAACTCAAGCTCGCAATCACGGCTTTGCGACGACGCATCACTTGGAGTTGACGAACTTTCAGCACTATGAGTTGGCGACGCCATTATTCCTTAGGGTTATGTTTGGGTCACACTTGTGACGTCACAGATTTGACGCCCATAAATGACGCGGAGTTCCTGACAGACAAATGAGCATCGACGCACCGGTAAAAATGCTAACATTGATCGCCCATAACAAAGCTCATGGTGCGTGAATTTTGATGAAATTTTCGGTATTGTCACCAATTTATTTATTGAAATATAATATCTTTGACGAATTTATCGTTCAGTGTACACTTTAATTTAGTTTCATGCTCAGTCGGTATTTATACGTTTTAATGTCAGGATAGTTCATCGGGTCTAGTCGGTGGAAATACGTTTCTGCGTGAGTATATATACATGCCAAGTCCCTGCAGTTACGTTCTCGCTAGTTCGTTTTATTTCAAGTCGTTAAATATACGTTGAAATATTTAGTTGGTTAATGTGGTCATGTCGGTGAATATACGTTGCCGTGTGAAGGTAACCCCGATCAAGTCGTTGCAGTTACGTTCTCGTTCGTTTCAGTCTCAGTTTGAGTCGTTAAATATACGTTGTAAGTGTGGACTTACTCATACGGTCAAGTCGGTTAATATACGTTAGAGCTTGAATATAACATCAGTTAAGTCACGGAAAATACGTTGTAATATGTAACACATGTAGTTCCAGTCGTTGAATATACGTTGCAATTTGAAATGTACGCTAACGGGTCGAGTACGTCAAACACGTTTTCCCCCGTACGGTACATGTCCCAAATATCCCCATACTCACGCGTTTTTTTTTTTCTTACTTCGAATTTGCATTCATGTAGTGACCTTGTACTTGCTTGTAATGTGTTTTCAATTAAGCAATATTTATTTCAATGTTTAACACGTGTTTATTGAGACTGTACAAAGGGCAAAACATCGTTACTTAACGACAGTAAAAAATGTGTATTGAAATAAAACGGTGATTTTTTTTATACGAGAAATTGTTGTCCATGGTGGTAATGAAGTGTGTATGCAAACAGATTGCAAAAAATGTGAAAACTGTGGTCGATACAGTCTGTTAACTATGGCCTATTTTTACAAAAATGTCTGGCAGGATAGCATGCACAGATGCTGGCTACTGGAGTGCATTGAATCATGACCGTTTTTCAACGACTTAACCTGATAGCGTGAAACTCCCCTGACCGGAAAAGGGTTAATCATGCAGGTATTCAGTTTACTGTAAAATTCTTTATTTTAGCTGGAATAAATTTTTTCTGAAAAGACCTTTTGGGTGTTTTGTATGGAATTTATTTTCACAGATTTTTTGACGAGTTGAATGTGAAATATAGGAAATATGGTATATTCACTGGATTTTATTTTCACTGAATCATCCCTTCAGCGAAAATAGCGAAAATTAATTCAAAGCGAAAATAAAGTATTTTACAGTAAATTATACATATTCTTTACATGCTATCATATTTTTTATGTTCTTTTCTCTACTTTTTTTGGATAATTTTGAACCAAATAGGAAGAATTTTGTATTTACTACAGGTCCTTTGAAAAACAGTGACAAAAAAAAAACCACACTTCTACGAAAAGGGAAAAATATATTGTACTTTTCACACAATAAAATAAATAACAATTATGGAATCAACATATATAGTTATTAATGAACAGAAGGTAAAAGAGCATGTTTGGTTTAGGATATTTTACCATGGCAATGATATCTCAATATTTCTAAATTGTGTTTGGTGGCATAGGGTTAAAAAAGGATAGTCTTACAATGTACTTGTTAATATCAAGGAATAATATCAAACTGATTTTATTTTGCCCTATATTAAGGTCATTTGCTGGTATTTTCCCTATCAAATAAGGTAAAAAATAATTTAATTTGTCATAAATGTTAAATGGCTCAAACATCACCATTTTTTAATGCAAAAAGTCCCATGACCATATATTTTTATGCAAGTTTTGTGAACAATGAAAATAAACCAGTGTCAAAATCAAGGAAAGTCTATTATAATACCAGCGACTGACTGTAAATGGTACTTTTTTTGCATATTATTTGGCTATTTTTTCCCCAAAAATAAAAACAAAAGCCCACATATTGTTGACTAATAATATCATAATTAATTATAGACAGACTTTAAATGAAATTAGTCACATGTAAAATTCATTATTTGAATTATGAGATACATGTATATTCTGAGTACAGAAAATGTCACTCATGGAATCACCGGGTACTAGAGGCAAAAACAGTTTTAAGTGTGTTACAATGTGAAAATCTAATATTACTAACATCAATTGGCAAGATTTGCAAATAAATCAATTACTTTAAAGTGCCTGTGCAATGCCCACCCTCACCTTTCCCATTTTAGATCTGTATCCCACTGAAATGGGCAGTTATTGATTTTTTTGCTGAAAATGATTACTCGTATCCAAGAAAATTTGGGATATTTCTCGTGTCGTAGCCACGCCCACCTATCCTGAAACGGCCTACTGTTTCCGGATTTCCGACTCTCACCGAAAGTGCGCCACCAAATGCCAAAATGTGAGAGGAAGTCATACCCCTGAGCCGTAATAACACTGGTCATTCAGTATACATTTAAACGATATACATTTTTCAGTTGGCGTTTTTTTCTTTCTTTTTCTGTTTTTAGATGTTGTGTTGTGGGCAGTTGCAGTGAAACGTATAGTCATAGTGTAAGTATTCACACTTTTCTAATCGATCCGAAGGTGCGACATCAGTAGACGAAAGCCACTTAACCTCAGATTCATTTTTTGGAAAAACTGTCCTCGTTCATGAAAAAAAAAAAAAAAAATAGGTTTAAAAGAGAAACGCCGACAAAATAAACCTGGCGCAACACTTTTGAAAGAAATAGATTCCGGACCATGATCACCGAGGCGGATTTCAGAAGAGAGAGAGACGTCCGGCAAGTGTTTCAAATGAGTTGACTTTTTTGCGATCCTGATTATCGTTTTATAGAGACCATTTAGTCCCTGTTAAGTAAAAGGTAGCAATAATTTCAACAGTGACACGAAAACGAAGCGTCGGACAAACAGGAAATTACACAGCCCTTCCACACTGCTAATTGTTTTCATTTTCGAAGGCTAAAAGTTTCTGAATTGTTTGGTGGTTTATGTTGAATGTCAAATTCACACCTCTGTTCTTTTTTTACCTCCATGCTTGCAGCTTGATCTGCGTAATAATTTCTGAAATAAGAATCCGGGCTTGGTCAATGTGTTTCCACCAAATAAAGTTTTAATATGATGTTATAATTATGACAATCACGCATGGATCACGCTAACTCGAATCCACTCTGAATTTATCTGTATGTGTGTCGATCTCGATTATTTTTGTCATCCAATTAAACGCCGCTTTTAACGCACTTGCCCTCGTCGTGACCCGACGCGTTCCTATTTCAACAAAATTTCAATTTATTTCCACGCG